ATTTACCCTGCTGAAAAATCATACACCATGAAATCTATAGAGAATCCATCAATTACCTTTCCTTTCACTTTATCACAACTTCACCTATAATGCAGCCTCAGTAAAGACGTACAAGACTGTGATAAGGTACAGAGTAGTATTTGGTTTTAATGAGCAGAATGTAGTGAGTGTTTAATTATATAACAATTAATTTATATGTGAAATGTTGCAGGAAATGAGGAAATTAATGTTGCAGTTTGTCACAGGATCAGCAGTAAGTAACATACTGCATTGCATTATAAACTCTTTTTGTAGCCTTTTATTTTCCTGCCCATTTTTTCTGGCATTAAGCCTTGTAAAAGGAATTTTTAAAACTGTGTTGCAGTTTTCATTTTCAAAATGCAATTTTGTGGCACAGGAAAAGTTGGATTCTGACTACTTCACTCCCTTCTCAAGAACTGTGCTAAATATGTTAGCACTACTTGGGAAAAGATGTATGGAGCCACTGCGTTATTGATAGTTTTACTTATGTTGAGTGGTATTTATTCCACTATTAGATCTACTTGAAGCCAGTGGAGCTCCTGGCAGAGTAAGAAGAGCGCAGCAAAAATAGGAGTGATAGATCCCAACCATATCTTAGTAAAATAGTTTTTAGGGTGTTTTTTTTTCCTGGTTAACGTGATCAGGACTAGGAGGGTTCAGACCATATTTTTGCTGTGAAGGAAACACTGGCTTTGTTAGGTTGCAGTTTTATTATAAACAGTTTCAGGTTCTTGCAGCCTTTACTTGGGAGTCTACCAGTGCAGTTGAGTAGGACCACAGCAGATATGTACCATGGAAATGCTATATTACTGCATGGATTTAATTGCTACATGGTAAAAAAGAAATGGGTGCTTACCCCTCTGCTCACTCCCCTGTCATTACTGAGAGAACCAGAACTATCTTGGATAATTCAGCCAAGTACAGACATTGAAAAAGCCCCTAGCAGAAGTGCTCTATTGCACTTTACTTAAAGAGCTATAAGTTTGAGCACGAGGCAACCGAACAGAAATTTGCTATTTGGTTGGGGGGTGGGGTCAAGCCTACCCACACTGGCCACTGGGGGCACTCCTACATGCCTCCCAGGAGGCTACCCAGCCCTGACTCCCACCAGCTAGCTATTAGGCCTGTGCAAGTAGGCAGCTATTCAATCCAGCTTCAGATCTGGCCACTTCAGATGCCAGGTATCTGATCCAGAGCTCCAGATCGGTTTCCCACTTCGAATCGGCCAAAACGGCTCCGAAGCTTATGGCCAGATCTCCAAGGCGGCTCAGAAGGTATAAAGGGGAATTAATGAAATATCTATAACTTTGTTGTTTTTCATCTAATTTGGATGGAACTTGCAGGAATGGTAGCCTCTGCTGAGGGCATGGAGCCTGCCAAGTTTCAAGAAGATCAATACAGGGATTTGGGGGGAACTGTACCCCAAATTCTTGAAAGCAAAACTCATGTCACGTATATGTGAAGCTCTGGGGCTTCCTTCATTTGCCAACCTACCACCTAATATCAGTCCTCTTAGTCTTGCTGAGGGACTTGCCTTTGCCACAACTATTCTTCAGCTTTGCTTTGCTCAACTTTACGTGGGTGCTTATTGCACTAGGGTTGAGACTCACCCATGGATGCTGTCCTCCTCCTGAGGTACTCTGGAGGGCTTTCCCCATTTCCCTAATACCTTGAGGTAATCTCCATCACTCAGGGTTTTATCCATTCCCCACCCCTCTCTGGATGAAGAACACTAGCACCTGCCTTTATTCTATTTCCCTCAGTTTACTCAAATCTGCCTCCAACTCCCCCCCCCCACACACACACACACTTTCCCAGGTATTTTCCCAAACCTATCTTTCTACCCTAACCTGAAGCCATTTTTTTCACATCTTCCCAAATTCCTCTTACCTTGGCTGAAAAATGTGGAGCTGCACTGCTGGGAGCAAACTACTGCTGTCCTGGGAGAGGCCTCCTTTTGTCCTCACCAACTGCTGAGTGAAGAAGAATGGACTCTATGCTGTGGGCTGTCTTCCATACTGGGCTGCAGGAAACTCTCTCCTGGTGGTGGGGTGCACCTTGGCTGGCAGCCCCACTGCACTGGGTAGCACCAGCCAGAATGGGCTGCTTTTGCACAGCCACTAGTCCATGTTTGTGTGCCTGGGGGTGCAGCAGCTCTTTAGCTAGGTGATGCCAATGAAGCAAGAAGAGCAGGGAGTCAGTCTACAGATTGCAAGAAGTGAAAGATGGAAGAGGAACAGTCCAATTTCAACTGCAGGAACTGGCACAATTTCTGATTATGAAGCTATCTTTCCAAATGTGAACCAGTGTAGGGATATTTCCACTAGTCTAACAAGACATGTCCAACCACTAATAACGAGATGTGAATGATCTGTTCATTTCACTAGAATATTGGTATTGAAATTTAGGAATACCTAGCGAAATGTTTAACAGGATCAACTCTTCAAATGCTGGTCACCTGAAGCACCCAGGGTATGGATTCATCTGAAAGGGCAGTCCACAGACAGGTGGTTAGAAGCCTGAACAGAAAATTGGACTGCTCAATCAAATATTTATTATCTTCTAAGGGTAGGATTCTGTAGGGAGGAAGGGGAGGATTAATACAAAAACATATGATCACAAATGTTAGAAATTAATATAATTGAATATAATTTTTAATTTAATATAGTAATACATTGAATCACTCAGTCCATACCTGATAGAATTGATCTCTACAGAACACTCAGAATCTAGAGAAATTAGAACAACTTGGGAAAGGGGTGGAGCTGTTCACTGAGAAACACAAGGTTATCAGGAAGATTACCTCAGATTTTCCTTTAATAGGACTGATCAAAATAGGTCTCAGTTTTATTTTAAACGAATGGGTAAATACCAATGATTTATTAATCATTTTATTAGTAATTCCATGTATAGTTCTAATAAGTTAGATTTTTTAAAATTCCTGCAGATTTCAAATAACAAAACAACCCCCGGCCCCCTCCAAAATCCCAAACAGGTTTCCAGTGGCCAGTGTTTTTATTTTAAGCCCTTGGTATAATTTTCTTTGTGGCTTCTATTTTTTTTTATGGTATATAAGTACAGGGAGTAAAACTTCGCTGCATTCAGAAAAACATTGACAATTTTCTGAAGGGTCTAATTCAGCTCAGATAGCACAATAAATCTTTTTATTAAAAAATAAGCTTTATACTTAAATTATGGTGTGTCTGGTCTTTGATGTCTTCCTTTCTTAGGCCTGGATATGGTAACTGGTTCTGTGTGGGGAGAGACAAGGGATTTGGTTGCAGGAGTGTGACCTAGTAGTAATTCTCATACATAAAAATCCTAAAGAAACAGTGTAAACAAGCCCTTTATTTTGGATGTTTTCAAAAGAAAGGGACAAGTCTGATAGTCTTAATTCAGGCAAAACTTCAGAAAACACTACTGGGAATTTTTTTGAAGGTCCAGAGGGTTACATCCAAAGTTCTGATTCAGCTTTCAAACACGCAATTGCCCGTCCTTGGATACTTTGTAATTCTGCAACTGTGTAAATTTGGACAAACACATTTGTAAGGCATGTAGTGCTTCTCATCCAACACAGAAGGCTTAGAAACAAGAGTGTGCACAGGTATTTCAGAGCTCTTATTTTTCTCGACATCTGGCTTTAAGTATGCCTCACTCTTGTTCCCTAGGTGCTTTCCTTTTCCTATTGCTGGCCTTAGCATTTTTTTGGCAGGATCACAGTTCACTCTGCATTAATGTGAATTAGCAATTTCATTTTAATAAGTTAATCAGATGGCCACATGTTCTTTAAATATGGAAATGCCTCTGTTTTCTGGTTCTGTCTCTCCAGTTCACAAAAGTTTATAAAGCTCATGCAGAGAGTGAACCAAGGATATCTACTTTGAGGTAAGGTATTTTTCCAAGATAGCTGCCTAACCACCTCATAAGAAGTGCTGTAATTTGGAAATATAATGAAGTGTCCATATGAAAAGGCTGGCACACACAAATATAAGAATACTTGAGTTTCCCTAACAAATTTCTTTGGAGTGAAGCTACTGCATTTTTTAACTAATCAAAGCCACCCAGTAAAATAAAATCGGGATAAATTACCTACTTATAATCAGAAGGCCCATCTGTTGTGCTTCAATGTAACAGGCCTCGAACATTTTTAGTAAATATAGGGTTTTTCCTCAGTGCCCACAGCTAAATTTTCCTTTTATTCTTTTCCCTCTGGAGAAAGGAAGTCTTGTAATGTCCTCTGCAGCACAGGAGGCCATGTTTCCTTGGGGCCGTTTGCATGTAAGCATGTGAAGCAATTGAGCACAAACAACTCTGTGTATAAATATATTGTAAATGTTTAAATGTTATATCTATACTGTTTTTACATGTTAATAGTGTAAATAGTTGGGTGCATCCAATACTTTATTGAAATTAACAGTGAAGCTCCCATTGACTTAAGTTCTTCTTTATTTGCCTTAATGTAAAATAATAAACAAATCATCTAGTCAACCAGGCTTCTTTACAGCAACAAAAATAATTATTGGACTTTGATTCTAAAACATCACTGTAATGCTTGCTCATAGCATAAGGAAGTAGTAAAAACTCTATAGCGTTAGGGTTTTTAGTAGTTTAAAACTGACTCAAATGTAAAGGGGTTTTAAACATCTTTCATATGAACATTCTCTTATGCATAATCATTTTCCACAGGGTTAATCAGCCTTGAAAACCCACTTTAAAATAGAAATGCAAATCAAGTTCAGGGAATATCAAGCAGTAGCAGGTACTACAAAAGATATAAATATTTTTAGACTGTATCTCTCTACAGTAGCAACTTAATTTAATTGTACCTTTTAAAATTTGGAAAGATCTTAAATTCAACGGGCACAAATATCTGTGTGTGTGTGTGTGTGTGTGTGTGTGTGTGTTATTTATATAAATATTTTATATATGCTTAACCATTTTAGCTTTACAGGAGGTTTTGACATTTATTGCTTCTTAGACATAAAAACGAAGACAGACCAATTAAATACAATAAAAAAAATGAAGTCTTTATTCTTTTGGCTCAACTGTAATGTGGTTTACTGTTCTTGTATGGTAATAGCATTTTCCTGCATGCAGTTCACCAACACACAAGTCAATAATTTTAGTAAAAAGAGGAATCAACATTTAATTTTTGCTTGTGTAACAAACAGAAAAATGTCCTGATGTGATCAATTATACAAGTTCGCTACTTAGTTATTGTGAAAAAAAAATCATTGTGGATCCCATATTATACCTAGAACAGTTCTAGTGCAGCATGAATCAACAAGATAAGAATAATCTATGTAAACAAACACTGGTAAAGATCAAGGATTCCATGAATAAAAAGACTACCTTGAAACTTCTGATGCAGGCAGTGTTAGGACTTCAAACAAATCTTCCCCACAACATTTCAATTACAAGTTATATCTATTTGGAAGCAAGTGCATTTTGGACTCAGTTTGAAACTTATTTCACATTAAAATGTGTGCAAAAATACAGTACTAATAAAAAGCGGAAACCTAGAACCACCTCATTCTCTCCTTTATTTCTTATTTTGTGAAGTTCTTGAATTAAAAAGTGCTATGGACAGAAAGTAACAAAAGTGACTGTGACATCAACCTGAAGATAATTTTCTTTTCTTATTTTATGTACAAAATGCTGAAAAATAAAATAAAATGATATTTTTACAATATTTATATTTTCTTAGAAAATTCCATCCATGTATTTTCAACAGATTAAGCAGTTGGAAACATGTCCTGTACAGTTGGGCTATACACCATACAGTTTTCACTTAAAATTTAAGAATGCAAAGCAAGAAGCTCTTAAATAGCTGCAAACTATTGCTCGATGACATGAAAGAATGATGTCCATTTCAACAATTTGTTTCACTTTACCACTGACATATGGTTTCCCATATTAAACTCTTTAACAGTGGAAGGAGTAAAGTACAGCAGCAAAGGCAAGATAAACATGCATCAGTGATAGCCTCCAAACTATCTATAATGGTGCAGAATACATCATATTATCTGCTGAAAACTTGCAAACTACACTTTTTGTGGTACATATTTGATGCAATAAATATTGTGCACTGGTCATTATTTGTTTGCTCAAACATGCACCACAGGGTAAAATAACTATTTACATCAACGGTGTTAGATTTTTGACACATACGATGTCAACCTTGCTGAGAGCAGATGATGGCTAAACGATACTGCAGGGTGAAGTACTGCAGAGTGAAGCAGAATAACTTTATGAAGGTTGGTTTTTTGGTCAGTTAAATTTGTCAGGTTAGATTCAATGGATATTTGTGTTTTCCACAGAAGAACACTTAAAAATGGAATTTAAATCCACACAATTTTTAATAGAGTTTGTCTCAACTACAGTTTAATGGTTTGTGAAAAAATAAAACATCTGTTCAATAATTCTATGGGACTTTACAGGCACATTAAGATTTGTCTTGATGAGACACCACATGAAAACTGTTTTAAGCACCTCAAAATATAGAGCCACCCTGAAACATGGAAGTAGTTAGACTCCATTGCTTTGTGCGATGTCATGTTTTTCCATGCATGATCTACAAGTGCAGCATGCCTTCATGCAAATCACTTCCATCTGTACATTATAGAGAACCAGAGAATATAATCCCTGATCCCCATTCCCCCCTTCCCCAACATAAAACCCATTTACAAAAATAGTCACATATAATAGTAAACAACCTGTGGATTAAAAAAATGATAAATTCACCAACACTGATTTTTGTAAAAATATGGCAATTGTGGCAGTTGAAATGCAAACAGTGGATACAGTTATTGTACTCAAGTGTTGTATGTTAAACATGTAGATTCGTAGGTCTGCACCTTTTTTAAATTGGTCCCTACAGTCTGAGTAGCCATTTTGTCTCCTCTTCAGCAGTGTCAGCTGGTAATGAAAACAATAACCTCCTGTCAAGGTTGTTACTCTGTTTTACAGAGTTACAGTTTGATGACGAGGGGTCACTGTCTTGTTATAGGCACTGACCTTTAGTATATATATCATTATTTATATATATATTTATATATGTAAAATCTGTCAGTTTGGCATAGACCTCCTACAGGAGTCCCGTTGATGGAAATACATCACTTTCTCAAGCTGTAAACACTATTTCATAAATAGAATTCTCTCTTACTTTTTACTTTCCCTGATGTCTTTACCTTTATCTTCCTTCTCCGATTTGTCTTTTTCATACTTCTCTTTGTCAGGCTTTGTTACACTATCGTAGGAAGGTGGAGAGGTTGTGGAAGGAGTCATATCTGTTTTTTCTGGAGTGGAGTTCTCATTCAGCTTATCCATAATCATATCTTCTTTGATAGGCAGGTCATCCTCATCTTTGTCTTCTTTTTTAAACATACATGAAACTTTTTTAACTTTTTGCCTTAAAAGGTGCCGTCTGTAAGCACGCTGAATGATGACAGCAGATACCTCTTCTTGTTTCCTTTTTAATGTGGTTGTAATTGGTTCATAGGAGACTTTAGAAGGATTGGCTGCCATAAACCGATCTTCCATTTGTATTC